GACTAAACATCTGAAAATGGCGCGAAATGTCTCTGGACATTTTCTAGTCATATCGTTTGAGTTAATTATTTAAAATCTGGTGTTTCAGTTATGGCGCCAAATTTCCAGCCTTTTAGTGGGCGTATATATAAGCCATGTCCTATATGACTACATCGAGTAGTCTCACCATACACTTTTGGACGCAAACCATTCTAGTCTTAATCGATTACTCGTTTAACAGTCGCATGGATCTGGTAATAAACGTTATCTCAATTTATCAGGATATACAGGATATATAATGATTAACCCTAGACTTAAAGACATTGGGGAAACATCCTCTAGAAGCTTCTTCAACAAAGTGTCAATTCTGGAGAAAGTGTCTGGGTTGAATTTTTTCATTACCAAAAGAATACGAAGAAAATAAGAATGAGTTGATGCCGTTTACATACCATAGCTGTGAAGGTCTGAACCTGTGATAAGAAAGAATGTAACTCGCCTGAACATTTGCCAGGGAAATAGCGATAAAGTAAGCTAGAGGCTAGCAGCGTTTCGTCTGTGAGAAAAGGGTTACAGGGTGACCAATAATTCATCCTTCTCAGGGCAACTTAAACAACATTGAATTCTGTCAAGGCTGGATAGTGAAGATTTGGCAGCACCAGCCAAGATATGGTAGCAATCGGTCTGATCTGGCTCTCATAAAAATGGTAGCAAGAGTCAGGTACTTTCTGGAGAGGTACCATTTTTCGAGCATCTTGAGCAACCGTGTGAACATACGAGTTCCACTTGAAGTCTCGAGTGAGCTTTCGTCACAAATATTTGACATTTTATAAAATTGTTCCTTTAATTTAAAGACACAATATTTTTTTATATTCTTTCGGAGCATTTATAGTTTTTGTATTAGTCAGTTGTGTGTCATCCGTGATACACGCTTAGACGATCATATTATTTTTTCTTCGATTTTCTTTTTCTTTTCTTCTTTTTCTTCTTTTTCTTCTCTTTTCTTCTTTTACTTTTCTTACATTTATTTTACATCTTCTTTTGCATATGTTTATTTCTTTTTCTTCTTTTCCTTTTTCTTCTTTGACTTTTTTATTTCTTCTTCTTTTTCCTATCAGCTCTTTACCTTCTTTCTCTACTTCTACAAAAAAGCAAACGAACAAATATATTTTAAATATTCGCAACTTTTTTCTGTGTTTTTTTTTTTCTGTTCATTTTTTCTTTACTTTTTTTACTTCACTGAAATTCAGTTTTTATATTTGTAAATTTAATTTCCACCACTTCTATACCGATTTCTCAATGTTTCCCCAAATTTCGTATTGATCGCTCTTTGGTCAACTCTCGGGCTGATAAATAGAGTATCGATTCTTGATGACGGTCCCCGCTGAGGTTTTCTTGATCATTTCGATCGAATACATAATTATTCTGTTACACCTCCAACTTGTAATTGATTAACCAATCGTGCCATTTCTAAGCAAGAATCCTGCTTCTTCCTACTTTACTTGTTTTACTTTTTTGTGTCGACAAAAAAAAATGGGTCGCCATCTTTTCTTTTCCTCATCCATCATCGCAAATGGGAATAGAGTAATGCTGCACGATAGCTATGTACGAGTGGACTGATGCCTTTCGACTGAGGCGTGCTTCTTTTTTTTTCACAACATTATTTTGTAGTGTGAAGAATAATAAGAAAAGAAAATACACACACGACCAATAGCTTGCAAGACTATTTTTTATCTTTACTTTTTAATTAACGATGAAAATATTGTATTTATCTTACACAAAAATATTTATTTCTCAAAATAATATCCTTCCTTTTCAACTCAGTAGTGCGTATTGAACACAGAGACCTATTATTATACAGTGAAAATCTCAGATCAAAATTCAACTAATAACTATGCTTCAGGCTATGAAATTGCTGATCGACCCTCTCATATTATCACTTAGTGATGTACGAATTCTTGTTATATTTGGTTGAATTATAAATAATTTCCGATTTTGTTTATCAACTTTATTCTTCAAAAGATAAAGTGCAATTACATTTTATTCAATTTTATATTCGCCATTATTTGCCATAATTTGTTACCACTTCTCTCTGGAAATACAAAATCAACTGCCTGAAATCAAAGATCACACTGATGCATGCACTGGCCATTTCAATCTTTCCGTACGCCTGAGAATCTTGGACATTAACAACTACAGAATAACCCTAGCTGTGTCATGTATAAACCACGTCACAAATGACGCAATGCGAAACAACATCAATCAAGAAACAAGCGTATTGCGACCACGTATAGATACGTCATAGCAGTAAAAGGTCTCTCTACTGCATTCCTAAAAGCAACGAAATTAGGCAATTGGACACGTCAGAACAGACAAAGTTCTTTCTTCTGCCTTCCTACAAGGGACCACATTAGGCAATTGGACACGTCAAAACAGCCAAAGTCTGTCTACTGTCTTCCTACAAGGGATCACATTAGGCAATTGGACACGTCAAAACAGCCAAAGTCTGTCTACTGTCTTCCTACAAGGGGTCACATTAGGCAATTGGGCACATCATAACAGCCAAAGGTCTGTCTACTGTCTTCCTACCACATTACATTAGGCAATGTCATGATAGCGAAAAGTCTTTCTACTGTCTTTCTACAAGCGACCACATTAGGCAAAAAAGAAGAGGCAAACATCGGAAAATAGGCAGACAATGTCACTGAGTGAAGTGAAATTTTTGTCACAGAGAGAGCATACAACAGAGACATCTAGAGAGGGCTGGTCAGTGGTTCACCTGCACAGTGACCTTACGACCACATCCGGCCATGAGAGTGATGATGATGATGATGATGATGATGATGATGATGATGCAACTTATCAGGCTGCTCTTTGATACCTTCTCAGTAAAATTCCACGGGTGTTGTTGTCAAAAAGTGTTCGACGAACTCTTGAATCTGGATTAGAGAAACATTTTTTAACGAAGCATGGTAGTAATTGGTTAGTGTAAGCTCAAATAAATATGGTGGATTGGGTTGACAAATCCAACCGAGCCTCAAAATTTTTCCCTATGTTATTATTGCTGTATACGGCCTTACGCTGTCATGGAGGGGAACAGCATTTTTTTCCTATTGACGAGCACAGGCTGCTTTTCGACCAAACTTTTATGGGCACGTTGCAGCTGCTGGATGTATAAATGTGCATTTATTTTTTTCAGAACGCTCAAACGCTCTCACCAGCCGCAACACATTGCCATTCTTCGATAGATCTTAGTTTTTGGGGTCGATTGTGGAGATATCACCTGTTATAATTAAGAAACAAATAGTGAGGATGATCGATTTGTCATTATATTTGGTTCCCAATAAAAGGAAATTAATTATAACACAGCATAATAGAAAGTTAACATAATATTTAATACTTAAGAATAACGTATTTGCAGACCTGAGAAATTAATTTAAAATGTTTCAAGATATTATATTGTGCCTAATGTACTGTGGCTAGTAGCAGACCATCAATGACCTTGCAAAATATGCGGCCAAAACATTGACAAATGCAGTTAAATCTGAAAAGCTGTTGTTTGTGGTTGAAATGCGTACTTGTTTTGTGCTCTTTATCACGATTCGCTTTTCGTAGATAGATATTTGCGATAAGCAAAACTGGCTAAGAAATAAAGTAGAATGAAAGGCAGGTATAACATCAAGTACCCGGATGTACGTAAAGGTTTATCGGTACGGAAAGTGGAATCGGCGAATCGAGTTCAAATTCTGGCCTTTTCTATTGCATTCACTTTCGCAAAAATATTTTTGCGAAAGGAATGAATCAAATCTCTCTCTCTCTCTCTCTCTCTCTCTCTCTCTCTCTCTCTCTCTCTCTCTATCCCTGTCTCTCCCCACCTTTCTCTCTCTATTCCTGTCTCTCCCCACCTCTCTCTCTCTCTCTCTCTTGGGTGGCAACAGAGATGCCGTTTTATGCACACATTTCTATCTGAATATCAGAATCTCATAAATTTATAATAAATGCACCAAAAAAAAAAGTTTTCTTAAATCAGGGCCAAATAGATAACATAGAAGAAATACATTGGATGTACAGTAATTATTCGAATATAATACGCACACGTGTGTAATACAGACCTTAAATTTTTTGTACAAATTTTGATACAAAAATTATACATAAATTTAATATCTGTGCCTCTTCTTTATCCGGTTCGTATCTATTAAGAATATAATTTATATAAGAATAATATTCATTTGAAAACCGCCGCCGTGTCAAGGGGTATTAAACGAATATTAGTCTCAATCCCAAAGGGAGAGAACTGAGGTTATTATCCTGCGCTTGAAATGACGATGGGGCTCGAGCAATTTTCCTACGGCTACCATATCCCACTATAAACTTTTATCATGTGTCACATTCTGCGGGAGTAAGCGCCTGGATACATTCTGTGGGAGTGAGCGCCTATATCAAATCAAGAACAAGAATGGTAGAGTATAGCGGCTCGGATTGAGGACTTACGTGCTAATACCCTTGGGAAAGGTATGAATCCTCTTCTTCTACACCCAGCTATGGGTAAATAGCGGGACAGACCGTGTTCTATAGCCTTGGATGGCAATTGGCCTACCGCAGAAAGAAATGCCAACCTACTACGGGAAAAATATCTGCCCTGTCAGACATATATCGAAAGTTACATGATCGCGTAAGCGTGTATCACGCATGGCACATAACTAATAGTTTTAAATGTTAATGTTTAACTCACATGTATACTGCGCATGCTTAACTTTTATGTTCAAAAATCTGTAAAAGGGTGCGTAATATACACGAACAATTACAATAGTCTCCAATTTTTTTCTTAATATTCCTTGATGATTGAGTTGTCTGATATACTAGTGGGTTTTACATGTTATGAAATAAGATAGATGAGAAGGGTGGAAATGGATATATACATAAAAAACAAAAATGGTATTATTTAGTTCACATGTATATTGCGTATCCCTAATTTTTCGGCTTAAAAGTTTGGAAATGGTGCGTATTATACACGAATCCAAACATTATTTCTTAATATTCCTTGATGATTGAGGAGACATATATTCGTAGGTTTTATACGTTATGAAATAAAATCGATAGTTAGGATAGATAGATTTGGACAGACTTAGATAGATAGATAGATAGATAGATAGATAGATAGATAGATAGATAGATAGATAGATAGATATGCACGCATGTGTATTGTGTGTGCGGACGTGTACCTTCTTGTGTATGGATGTGTCTGCGTTCTCAAAAGAAGGAAAACTGTGCGGAGAATTATAAAATAAAAGAGATAACTAAAAAGAAAGAAGCAAGAGTAAAAAAAAACCGCTATCTCCCTTTTTCTTCAGTTGAACTCGTCCATGTACTTTTGCCTTACCGTCCCACACAATCTAAAACCTCACCCTCAAACCGCATCACCAACCATTTCCATCTTTCCGTCCGCATTATTCTCTAAAATAATTACCCCAACTGTTGCAGCTTTCTTGACGGTAAGCGACGACGATTGCGTCCTCAGCCAATCACCAATCTGTGTCGTCCATCCACCCCAACAATACTAATCTCCTGCCACCAATCGCTTCATTCTCGCTGCAATACCATCTCCCATTGTCAGTCTGTGTCTTCGCCATCTTTTCCCCAGCGCAACACACTGACGTCCATTTCTCGGTGTCCCAGAATCCCTAATGAACATCGACAATCTCTTCTTGCATTGAAGCCCTTTTCCAGGAAATGGAAGCACGTAAACTTGGCAAGCTGTCACCGACGCCAGCCTCACCGTAGACTCATGGACGACTGGTTGCTTTCTCAACGACAGCCATCATCTCCGGGCACTGCCAGCCGACGTCACTTCTGCTTTTCAAATCTTTTTCCTTTTACGTTTCTTCGACGGCAACAGTCGTCTTCGAGACAAGAACGGATGCAAATGTATTTACTTCCATTACCATTCCCAAGCAAGTATAAAAACTTTCTGACATAACGAAATCTGCGTGGGTCATAGAGAAGACTATACATTTTATATTTCATTATTTTAATTACTCTGCACCTCGGCGAGTCGAGACTGGCTGATTATTACTACATTGTAGTGACTTAGATCCTCACTGGATACTCCACACAAATTCGACATTCGAGTGATGTTTTGAGCGCTGAAAATGAGGGGAAGAGGAAATGAAGAATGCAGGCAAATATTTCTGAGGCAATTATGTATAACATAAATGCTTTGCTACGTAATTCATTATAAAATGTATTGTCAATGTTGTAACCTAAGAAGAGTTACTGAATGAGGAATAACCAAAACGGAGGTTGAAAATGAAATGGTAGCTTTTATGACATCAACAAAATACAATACTCGCCAGCAGCATGAAGTAGGTAAACCACTGCTAGTGGTGGACTACTTAGACAGCATATTACCCCTACTAACAATAGTACCCAACTTATTTATGAGGATTGGAACTTACCCATTAGTGTTCATAGGTACGATTTAAAACGGTCAATAATCAAATAAGGAAATATATTGAAGTTTCAGAAATTAATTGCCAATGATTTTGAAATAATACTGGCATTTAAGACGTGGGCGATCATGGCACTTCTTGTCTTTGTAGCTCTAAGAAACGTTTGTCTTCTTACCATCCTTATAATTCCATGTTCTGTCATCCATTTTTAATCCACAAACAAGGCATTAAAGTCACTAAGAGGTAAAGTGTTATTAAGTGTGAATTTATTTGTTTTTACGGCTTATCAACTCTTTGCAGGATATTTAAAGCCAGAAAATATTTTTAGATTGTAAGATTTTTTTTATTTTAGATAGTAATGATTCATTGATACAAGTGGGATTTCCAATTTCCAATTCCAAGCCGTTATCCATAACACTGTCCACACATCGGAGCTTACAGCAACTGGTATTCCCAAGCGGTCACCCATCAAGGTAATGACAAGGCTACTGAGTACGAAAGAATATGAGAAAAAGAAAAACATTATTAAAGGGAGAGAACCATAATATAAGACGAGTTAAGGAGACAGAAGGTAACGATTTACATTACATTTAAATTTTTGGAGATCAATTTTAACTGGAAAGCAAGACTTCCACAAGCGAAAATTGCAAGAGAAGAAACTGTTAACATAGAACTTACTGTTACATGTAGCTATTTCAACTGAAAATTGATGAGACCTAGCTGATAATCTGGTACTGCCGTTAAATTCATAAAGTCGAGGTACCAAAGAGAAATCTCATCAGAACTGCCATGAAAATATTCATAGAAAAGACACAGGGAAGCTACATTATAGTGATGGGCAAGTATCCTTTTACGTAAACTCGTTGGTTAGGTTATTTACTATTTTTCTCTGCTCCTCTTGCCGTCGGTGTGTCCTATGGGTGTTAAATTCTCCAAGCCCTTCCTTCTTATTAGGTGTCCTAAAAATTTCAACTGTCTTTTTCTGACTGTAAGTGTATTTCATTCCCATTTTCTATAAAACCACGTTGTAGCTCAGATTTATCTTTGTGGAAATTGTCTAATATTCACTACCATATTCCAATAAATTTCCGTCTTCCTTTACGGCACTATCCAAATGCTTGGCCCTAATTGATTCTGATATCTCCAATTCACAGCACGCACCTTGAGCAACCCCGTTTTCCCGGAGACTTTTTATTCTGTCGTTGTACAGTTAATAGTCCGTTTTTCGTCTTTACGAGTGTAAAGATCAGGCAGTTACCTTTCTGAATCTGGCATCAACATAATGTCATCTGTGTATCTAAGCTTACTCTATTAGAAAAACTACAGTTGGGGCATACCGTGTATATTGAATTCATTAAACTTGTGAATGGTCCATCAGATTAAATTATTAATACCGGAAGGCAGTTACGAACATCGAATTTGCATAACCAACAAAAATGAATAAAATTATTCGAAATATATATATATATATATATATATATATATATATATATATATATATATATATTGAACAATAAAAATATTAAAAATTAAAATCTTCAGACTCACTGGTTTGTATATTAATATTCTTTCGTTTTTTATTATTATTATTTCATTCAGATTCATATATATATATAGATAGATAGATAGATAGATAGATAGATAGATAGATAGATAATATCAAATCCGTAAGTGGTAAGGATATGCCAAGTAGATATTTTTAATATAAGATATTAAAAGACAGATTCAATATAGACTAGTCTATATATATATATATATATATATATATATATATATATATATATATATATATATTTTGTGTGTGTGTGTTTGTTTTGTTTGTTTTATTATAGATGAAGGTGATTAGACTTTAACTGGACATATAATGGATTAGTATTCTTTTTCTTATATGGTTGGTATATATTGTTGAATATATATATATATATATATATATATATATATATATATATATATATATATATATATATATATATATATATATTTCAAATTTGTGTATTTAGGCAGCAATCCTTCTTTCATGTACATTTCATTGAATACGACAGACAAGGTGCTTTTATTTAGTTTTTTATACAATTTCTCATGCGATCTAATAATTTTTTTTTTCTTTTCGGATGATAAATTATATAAAGACTGTCCGAATGTTCTTTTTATCCGAGAGCTTTCGGCTATACATTTAGACATTTTCAAGAATTATAGTTTAACTGTTGAAATAAGAATTAGTTTGTTGTATGTATGTTTTCTGAAATGTTTTCATTTTTCAAAACACGGTCAAGATATTATGTCCATGTTCAAAGTTAATATTATTAAGTGTTGGCTTGTTTGTTTTTATTAATAAGGCTTCTATTATTTTTAGCCTTTTTTTTTTGCATGTAGACGATGCTATTATATATGAGATCTAATTGAGCTATTTTACTTTGTAATCACGTCCCCGACGAGTGGGCGAATGGACGGAATATCCGCCGAGTAGAGGTAATGCAATAAGTGAATTATTACCAAACGCACAGACACACACAGACACATATATATATATATATATATATATATATATATATATATATATATATATATATATATATACTGCTGTAACAAGCAAAATTGTCCAAAACGTGTAAAAGCAAAATTGTCCGATTGTTAGATTAAGATCTGAAACATTCTATCTTAGAAATGTTTAAAGATATCTCACTGGAAGCCTCCGAGGTTTTTATAAACCTATTGGACACTACTTTGAGCAATAAGAATGTATAATTACTTTCCAAACTTAACAGAAGTATCCTTTCCGCCAGCGAATGTTGGACGGTCCCCTCTAAGATGAAGAAGAAACTCGAGGCGACGGAGATGTGGGTCTACAGAAGGATGCTAAGGATATCATGGGCCGAGCGCGTGAGCAATAAAGAGGTCTTGGAGAGAATGCAAACAAGGAGGTGTCTTATACTTAACATCAAGAAGAGGCAGCTGAAGCTTCTGGAACACGAAATGAGAAAGTAGGGCCTGGAAAATCTGATACTCACAGGTCGAATAGAAGAGATACAAGGGAAAAACAACGCATGATATAACTGGCGGACTAAAGCAAGTGGGTGACAGAACGTGGTCTCGATGAGGTGGCAGAAGGACGAAACTTACTGAGAGCCACTAGGGATAGGAAGACGTGGAGAGCCATGACACGGCACATAAAAACAAAGAAAGAAAGAAGACTGGGAAATGGCGACCGCAAATCGTACATTTTCACTCATTTGGCTGCGAGTATTAGCCTAGGAACAACTGTGTTATGTGAATCGTGAAATCGGCCGGGATTTCCTGAATATCAGCATGAAGTCCTGGCTTTTACCTGGGATTGAACCCTGATGTCTGCTACTGTTGAAACATATGAATCGATTATGTTTTGTTGGTAAGAATAAGAAAACAGAGACCATTTTAAGAAGATATCAATCATACCACGTACACAGGGTCGACTCATCTTCATTCCCTTCGTATTCTGAGGAAAAAGTGTTTCAAAATAAAATAAAAAAATTACTACAATTTATCGTATTTCAAGGCGAGCAGAATCTTTGTCAAGAAAGTTCTCAATTGCATGGTGACAGATTTATCAGACTCTCTGACCCTTTGTAATAAAAACAGAACACGCAAACTTAGAGACATTATTTAGTTTAAAGCCACTGGATCTCAAATGAACTGAACGTGACTGCTATTTTTTGTATTTTTTTTAGATAAAGGGAACTATTCGCAGGGGAGATAACTCTTATCAGTTATTACAGAAATCCTATCAAATAAAAATAAATATATACATTTGGATTTACTTTCGGATTTTCTGCAGTCGAATATATTCTGTAAAAAGTTTTTGCCTTTTTTTT